ATATATATATATATTTTCCCCGCCCCCCCCAAAACAGCATCTAGTATTCCTAGGTGGTCTCTCATCCAAGTATTAACCAGGCCGGACCCCACTTAGCTTCCGAAGGAACTGTATATTCTTGAAGCTAGTAGTACATGCCACCCTGTATCACAAATATTTTATTGTGCTTACCCAACAGCTATTGTTTAAATGAGCAAACAAGCTGAAGGAGCTCTGGGTTTAGCTTGGTGCAAAGAGTGAAGGAGATGGAAGGCGATTAGGAATAACAAATGAAAATAATCCACAAAGGATTCTCCCAACAAGGAGGGAGTTGAAAGTATTAAACAATAGAGAAACGTTCTTTATGGGGATGCCTTTTTGCAGCCTAGGTGCAGCTCACCTGGCTCAGCAGCCCCAGCCATCCTCTTCTTGGGTCTCGGCATGGTCTTCCTGCACGGTCCTGAATAGCGGAGGATTCTGGAATCTACCGAGAGATGCAAGACGCCACTCCGTGTGTGCCCTCCCCAGAAACCTGCACAGAGCCAGATGGACACAATGAGAGGAAATTTAGAGGGTATTAGCCCCCGAGGTTCTTTTGCGAACAACACAGACTACCGGGTTTGAGCCCCTCAAATTTCTCCCAGTTACCTATGCCCCCATTTCCACGTCGCATAACCTGCCCCTAAATTCTCCTCAGTTGTTTCCTTGATCCTTCTCTCAGTCGTTTATCATTCTCTCACTGAACCGGATCTACCCCTTCGCAGAACACCCAGCCTACCTCCAACGCGCCGGAAGCAGGGAAACAGCCTCCCGGGGGCGCTTACAAAACGTGTATCTCCTGCCCCCAGACCCCAGGGATCTCTGGGAGTTGTAGTCCTTGCCCCTTGCACGGGACTCCGGAAATCCGGCGCAGTGGGTACCGCCGACAGCAGTACAAAGTCGAAGTGCAGTGTGGGGCACGGGGCAGGGATATAACATCTAGGGCCACAGCCTCTGGACTAGGCGAAGAAGGTAGAAGTGATTCGCTGTCAGACCTTGGCAGTAGCAGGAGTAGCTGCGATGTTGCGAAAGGGTTGCTGGCGGCTCCGAGCGCAACTCTCCTTCCTGCACAGAAGTTTCCAGGTCTCCAAGAGCGGCCACCGGAACTTGGTCTCCTGCATCGATCGTAAGGCTAGCCCGAGGGTGCAGGTGTTAGGGACCCGGGCGGGGGCCGTGGTTCCCACGCTCCCAGGGCGCGCTGTCACCCTTGGGAGGTCCGCACTGCCATCACCCCCTGCCTGCCTATCCCCCGGGCGGTCATCCGCGGACCTGTTCGCCGTGCCGGCCAGTCATCCCCAGGCAGTAGGCACGGTCGTCACCCCTGGGTCGTCATTTCATCCTGTCGACTTGGGTAGCCTTCTCGGCCGACCTCTCTCGGATCTCTGTTGCGCCTCTGGGCCTCGTCTGCTACTCCTCCACCTCCAGACTCGGCTTGTGAAACGTGTGCTCCAGGCCTTTCACTGGTTCTTGAGCCCTTTCCACCCTTCTGCCCACCGCACCCGTCGAGAGGAACTTGAGAGTTTCTCGCCTGAAATGTGTCTTCTATCGCAAAGAGCCCTCTGTGGCTAAATTTTGATATGAAAATACTTTGCAGCTTAATCCTCGTTGCTGATGCTATAAGTTTATTGTTCAAATCTTCCTTAAACTTAATTTATATTGTCAGTCTCTTAAGATCATGTTTCATAAGTAAACTTACATAATAAGGATAAAGGGTTTTACATTTATTCTCACAACTCTGAGGTACATTCTGTTACTATCCCTGCTTTCAGATAAGGAGTGAATGCTTAGGTGCAGAAACTTGTGGCGGTTTTTTGTTGTTGTTTTTGTTGTTTATTTAATTCATAACAGTATGTCATAAAGGCAGTAAGAATGTGAAGGCCTGGTGCTGATAGTGGTAAATGAACAAAAGCTCCAGGTAATAACAAGATTTGCTCACATATTTAGATTTTGTAACTTAGAACCTATACCTATAAAACACTTTTACTGTTGAAATTCCCAAAGGAAAAAAATATATTATCACAAATGGGGAAATTACCAGAGTTTACAGACCTGAATGTCTTCAGGAACCAGAGAAATAATTAAGATTCGAATAAAGGTGGTGAGGACCTAGGCTGACTAGGGAATAACTAGCCACTTTGTGACTCTGTCAAGCACCTAATGACCTTTTTCTTCTGAAACATTTTTTTAAAATTTTAAATAAATGACTCTTCTTTATAGCAGAATAGTCTCTGTATCCCTTAGATTAACATTTAGATCTATAAAGTGCACTAAGGTATAGAATACTGTTTCTTCTCAATATCACCTTCACAAGATGTTGCCCTGTTCTAGCTAGCACTTAGAATTTGGTAAACAGGGTCACCCTTGTTGATACCAAAGCAGATAAGGAGTTGTTCTGGTAATAAATAGGTTAAATATGAATATTTCCAGCAGCTAGTGGTGTAACTTCAGCCAATGAGATGCTTTTTCATGTTTTTAAAAGAAATTATCTTTTAAATAGTAAAATGAAATTGTCTTTTCAATTACATCATCCTACGTATTAAAATTAATGGAAGTGATCAACAAATATTTCTGATTGTTTCACTGTATATTCTAATGTGAAAAATAATTTTAGGAGAATTATAATTTTCTATTTTAATGTATTACATATTTATTACATGTAATTTCCATATTTTACTGGTATTAGTATCATTTTACCAATGAGGAAATTTACTCAATATCTAGTGGCGCCCCCTCATTTTACAACAGGATAAGTGAGGTTTACAGACATACCTGACACTGAAAATTATACAATTTATAGTTTCAGAACCAGAGCTCAAATGACATTCCTCATACAGTCCTCTTTCACTACAATTTGCTACAACTTCTCAAGCATCCACAGAATTCTAAGAAGAACTATTGATTCTCTAGTTAGGTTACTATTTTGGATGCTTTTTAACATTCTTATTTGGAGTTTTTTGTGTACGGTATAAGTCTGATTCACCCTGTGCAGGTTGCTGATCCTCCTGTGGCTGTATGTGTTCACTTCTTGCTTACATTTGAGTTGCTATCAGGTGAAGGCTTTCCTTATCTCATTTAGGCCCTTTTTCTATTTACCTTTACTGTGTGTGTGGGTGTGTGGGCGTTGGCTTCTTAAACTCACCCAGTAGCTCCAAGCAAACTTCACGAGGCCTGGCTTTTGTTTTATTTTATTTATTAATTTTTTTTATAGTGTATGTTTTCTGGGAACTTAGGTATTTTTACTTAGTAACCAGGCTTTCTTGTATATGATTTGCTTTATAACTTGCCTTTTTTTTACTTTTTTCTTCCAAGTAATGCTTTCCTTTTGTTAGCATTCCCTTAACTAAAATTGACTGTTTATTACCTAACTTTAAAAAATGTAATTATGTTGCATTTACTTATACACATGATGTGCAGACATGTATTTTCTGTTATTTACTTAGGATGCAATTCAAATCTATTTCTTTTTTCCTTGAACTACTTGTTTTACTCTGTCAAATAATAATAATAGTAATAACTGTAAACATTGAGCTCTTGCTGGGACCGAAATTCTGTAGCACTTCTATTTATACAGTAAGGTGTCTGCATTTTTACCATTTGTGTCATCCTTTGTGTAAATGCACCATATTCATCTTTGTAACTTCAGTACTGCTCCACAGTGGACAGTCAAATATTCTTTCGTGAATGGTCTTGGAACTTTGTTCTGCAGGAGCATTTCTGCAGGATTGTGCAAATAGATGACCTGACTCCTACTCAGGGAACCATGAATTGTTATCTCTAACAATCTTCCTGAGAGTAACACCCAACAAAAGGTTTCTGCTCTGGGCTCTTCGAGGTAGCCTAATCTTTAATCTTCACAACTATTCATTTCTGAGTTTCCCATCTATATGAAGTCCTGATACAGACTGCTTTCTCCTGTCTCACATAGAAGATGCCCAGATCTGCCCCAGAGAAACAGACTCTGCCACCTGAACTTATTCTCTGTTGGAAGGCCTGTGCGTCAGTAGTAGGCACTGAAATATATTGTCGAGAGTGGACCCTTAGTCTTTTCTTAGTGCTCTTTAGCATCACCCCAGAATGACCAAATTTTTAACATTAGAAAGTAATACAGAGCCCTGCATTTTCTCGTTCCTCCTTACATTTTTACAACCACCACTACTTTAGGGCTTCACTGTGCCTTTAAGTATAGGCATGCACTCCTTTTTTTTTTCCTAGCACACTTGAGGCAGGTGATCCTTTCAAAATGGCAGTACTAAGAAACAACAAAAGAGAAATAAATATGAACAATGTAAGTCGGATTCACCCTGTGCAGGTTTCTGATCCTACTGTAGTGTTCTGGCTCCCAGGATTTGTGATTCTATCTTTTTTAAATTCTCTACACTATGCCCACCAGGTTGAAGTTTTGCACAGAAGCTTTGCCTGCCTCTAGCTGAAAGTCCATGTCACCTTCCAAAACATGAAGCATATTTTAGGCCTTACTTAACTCGCTAGATGACTTAAAGCTCTTTTTCCCAGTTCAGTCCTATCTCACTCTATGCAGTTTTTGAAAAATGTCCTTAAGGGAACCGATTAAAGAAAATTTGTAAAGTAATGATGTTAATTGAATAGTCACTGTTTTATGTAGATATCTTCCTCTTAAAGAGTATTACCTCTGATAAAACACTTTTACAGTATAATCTTTTACAAGATGTTTAAGGCTCTAGGGAAACTTCTCCCAGTGAAGCTGTACTACCTTCCTGTTGGTATTGCTCACTTAAGTCATTGTCTTTAGCTTTTAAGTATCTTACCTAGAAGTGAAGGAATTACCCAAATTTACAAGACTGATAGAAAACGTTCTAAGAATTCTGAGTCCATGGGGAGAAAAAGATTTAGTAAGGACTTAACCATGTTTTTAATATTAGAAGGTTTTCCTCATCATAGTTATCAGTGAATGTCTAAGACTTGCCAAATGCATGGCCTTATGATAGGCTTATCATAATTTACCTTTCCTTAATTTTTTGAATTATTTGAATTATTTGAATTGCCAAATGCATGGCCTTATGATAGGCTTATCATAATTTACTTTTCCTTAATTTGAAAGGTAAGACAAAGTAAATGTATCTTCCTTTCATACTGTTTTTTTGAAATGAATGTTGGTGCCAATAGACAACTATAGACAGATATACACAGATAGGACGGGATTTTCCCAGGATACCAATATAGAAAAGGTAGGACATCCTAAAGGAAGAGAATGTTTATCATAATTTGAGTGTCAATGTGTGTTTATTATTTTTTAATGTGTGTTTATGAAGAGAAAGAGCTAGATTATTGAAAGAATAACTAGGAGGTAAATAAAGTCAGCCAATCCATTTGGAAGTGAAGGAAGAAGGAAAAAGGTGATGATATATCAAAGAAACTAATGGTGGGTGATGTTATTCTCTGGATGTTAAAGGTAGTACTGTGTATGGGAAATGCTATAATAAGTCCACTGTCCCGTCTTCACGGTACTTGGTGGTGGTACACTTCCTGGACCTCTGTTCTGGAACTGAATGTGTGCAATCTTGCCCATAGCTTCCATGGGACTAAATGAAGAACAGAAAGCATTTCAGAAAGTAGCTTTTAACTTTGCTGCTCAGGAGATGGCTCCAAATATGGCAGAGTGGGACCAGAAGGTAAGAATTTTCCTTGTGGCTAGATTCCCCAACAAGTGCCATAATTATCTTCATCTCTTTATCCTAATTGTTCAATGTTTATTTTCTAGTTACAAATGAGAGTACTGGTAATGGTGTGATTCCTTTCCTAAAAGGTATTTTCATTATCTTGAAGATATCTGGTTTTTGTTTTGTTTTTTGGGGTTTTTTGTTTTGTTTTGGTTTTTGTTTTGTTTTTAATATATAAAGATTTAGACCACTCCAAAAACCAAAGTGGTTGTGTTGATAATAAAAAGAAACTTTAATGCCAGAAAACCAGTCCTTATAAAATGCATTTTAAGTGATACCACTGTTAGATGACATATTTAAAGAATCCCTGCACTCTCAAATGCAAACATCTTAATCCCTCGTTTTGCCCTCCAAAGAAAAGTCCATCTGTGAATCACTTATTGGTGACCCTGCTCTCTTTTGTACACAGGAACTGTTCCCAGTGGAAATGATGCAGAAGGCAGCCCAGCTAGGCTTTGGTGGGGTCTATGTACGAACTGATGTAGGTGGGTCTGGACTGTCACGGCTCGATACCTCTATTATCTTTGAAGCTTTGGCTACAGGCTGCACCAGCACCACAGCCTATATAAGCATCCACAAGTGAGTGTCCAAACTTGTAAAGTGCAACAAAATATTCACGTGGGTTGACTGGGAAATTTCAGATAAAAGGGACCAAAGATTTATCTTTTCAGGCTGATCACCTTTGAAGAACTAGACTGTTAAAAGTTCACACTAGGTCTGCTGCTGCCTGTTGGACTTGAATCTGTCATCTTATATGTTGCCCAGATAACCAGGTCTGCCTGCCTCCTCCCAAATCCTAGATTGAGTGGTACCAGACACTCCAGTAGAGTGGTCAGAGCCCAGTCTCCTTTTTCCTCGACCCAAATATGAAACTTTCAGGAATTTGGGAAAGTACATAAAACTCTTTGATTTTTAGGAAGGTCAGTTAACCTAACTAGCAGTAGCATAAACATCCAAGTGAGAAATACCTTGGCCCTGGTTGTCTCTGGGTGATGTGTGTCCTAGGAATAATGTTCTAATCCAGGCCTTTCCTTTAAAGTTGAATCATCTCAATTGTGACATTTCCCTCCACACTCTTCTGTTTCTACTTTTCTGCCTTTGTTCCCTTTCCCCACCCATTCCCCACTCAAACTTCCTTTTCTTTTCCATCTTAATCTCTGTGAATGCCTTTTCTTTTTGCTATACCTGTCAGCATGTGTGTCTGGATGATTGATACCTTTGGAAATGAAGAACAGAGGCACAGATTTTGCCCACCACTCTGTACTATGAAGAAGTTTGCTTCCTTCTGCCTCACTGAGCCAGGTGGGTTTGCCATACTGCCAGTTGAAACGTCACTCAAGTGAAGTCACTGAGAACTCCTTAGCCCATTGATACAAATAACAGTTGTTTACCAAGATGTTTTTGTTGTAGAGTAACTAACAGATGACTAAGAGGCCTCTAGGGCAGAGTTTCTTCAGGCTCTGTGTAGAGGATTCACTGTAAGCTAATGTGATGAGAGATGGAAAATGGTCTGATTGCTATACGTAATTTTTACCAAGTGCAAAGAGTCCCTTTGGCTGTCTGATTTTAAAGTATCAAACTCTGAGCTGTTTGTTTTAAGGGAAGGTTCTCTAGGAGATGCAAGCATGCAAGGGCTTCCTTAACTTCATTGACTTTCCCCCTCACCCTGTCTCTTTCCCCTCTGATCCCTGCCTTAGGGAGTGGGAGCGATGCTGCCTCCCTTTTGACCTCAGCTAAACAACAAGGAGATCATTACATCCTCAATGGCTCCAAGGTACCAGTTTGCGCTCCTCTCAGAACAACTTCAAGATTGTT